CTGAATGCAGTGGACGGCCATTTCATCCGATTGTGAGACTGCTCAGTAATGAACATCCACGATCGCACCTCAAAAGTTTCGAACTCATGGTTTATCGATCTCGTGCGTGATCGCTTAACCACTACATCATATGTATAAACCATATGTATATATGTACATCTAGTATTTCATTATTTTCAATAGTTCATTAACTTATATTGATTCAGAGAATGAAAAGTTTTAATTAAGAAAGTAATTAGGACTTATTATATCAACAACAAGATACACAACGTGTTATACATTCAGTTTAGTAGAATGACAAGAGACAAATTAATCCATATAAAAGTTCTTAGCATAATAATAAATGAGTCTCCATTTTTAAAACAAAAACAAACAAGAAAGACAATTTTTGGTTTACCTTTTCCATCATCAGATTAATTAAACTCTCGAAATGAATTTTGAAAAAAGAAAAAGAAAGAAACTAAAATTTTATTCATTATGTGGTTATCTACTAATAAGAAGTATCGATTCTATTCATTGACATATACCATTGTATCTATGTGGGCGTGTGTGTGGTGGTAGTGGTGGTGGTGGTGTGTATGTGTGTAGGATAATGAGTATCTACTTAAACATTCCTTGAGTAGTAATTCTCATAATTACACAAAATCTTATCATTACCCTGTAGAGTTTTTTTTAAAAAAAACAGCCTTATAAAATATCATCATGTTGACCCAGTTAGCTAACTGACAGCATATGTTCTTTTATCAGAGTGGGGGTTTGTGGAGATTGTAGTATTTTCACAGTTGAATTCTCGAGTTGATCTAAGCTAGACCACCGTTGAGAAGTAGAAAACACTGGACGGTCGTTACATCCTAGTATCGGACTCCTTTTAGAAATGATGGAATATATTCGATCAGAGCAAATCAGTAGTAGTAAGAGGTCAATAATTTACAACAGGCCAATTCTCAATGCTTCAATAGTTGAAAGAAAAAGGAAAAGACGGTTGTGTTTCAACTATGAAATCTCATATAATCTCGCTTAGTCTACACTGATTTTGACAATCAGGTAGTAAGTAACATACAATTAAAAAATATGATTCAATGCTGATTATGGCGAGACTATAATTTATGAACAAACCAACAAGATATAAGATAATAGGTCTTGGATGTTGGCACAAAATCTATTTGTCTATTTGGTTAAATTACTTAATTAATTACTCACTTACGCCTGTTACTCCCAATGCAGCATAGGCCGTCGACCAGCATTCTCCAACACACTCTGTCCTGTACATTTTTCTCTAGTTCCATCCAAGTCTTGTTCTTTTTTCTCATGTCTCTCTCCGTTTTCCGGCGTAATGTGTTCTTTGGTCTTCCTCTCCTCCTTCGACCTTGAGCATTCCATATGAAGGCTTGTCTTGTGTAGCAGTTGGGTGCTTTCCTTAATGAGTGTCCTATCCACTTCCAGAGCGTCTTCCTCCGTTGGGATCTGGTTCGTTCTCTCCCATAGTAGGTTGTTGCTGATAGTGTTTGTCCAGCGAATGTGAAGTATTTTGCGTAGGCAGCTCTTAATAAACATTTGTATCTTCTGGATGATGACTTTCGTAATTTTCCATCTGCGAAGTCTAGATCGTCCAGCTGCATCCTTGATGTCCACTGTATCCCGTGCTTCCCTTCAGATGTTGATGTCTTCATGATCCAGTCGATCACCAGGAGAAAGAGAAAGGATGAGAGTAAGCAACCTTGCCTGATACCGGTCTTTACCTCGAACGACTTTGTCAACTCTCTTTCATGCACGATTTCGCAGTTTAATCCATCACATGGTTTCTGTATGATATTGACTATATTCTGATGCACGCTGTAGTGTCGAAGAAGCTTCCATAGTGTTGTTCTGTCCACGCTGTCAAATGCCTTTTCGTGGTCAATGAAGTTGATGTAGAGTGATGAATTCCATTCCATTGATTGTTCCACAATGATGCGTAGAATTGCGATTTGGTCCGTACGCGATCTGTTCACGGTCTATCCTTACGGAATCCTTCCTGTTGTTCTCGAAGTTTGGCGTCTACGGAGCCATTCATTCTGTTTAACAACACCCTGTTGAAGAGTTTGCCTGGTATTGAGAGAAGAGTGATGCTACTGTAGTTATCACACTTGCTGAGATAGCCTTTCTTTGGTATTTTGATCAGAAGTCCTTCTTTCCAGTCTGTTGGTACTTGTTCCTCATCCCAAATCTTGCTGAAGAGAACGTGGAGGATCCTTGCAGTTGCCACTACGTCTGCTTTCAGTGCCTCTGATGGAATGTTGTCTGGTCCTGCTGCTTTGCCACTCTTGATTTGTCTGATGGCCATGCTTATTTCTTCAACCGTTTGTGGGCCAACATTGATTGGGAGGTCCGTGGGTGCTGCTTCGATGTTGGGTTGGCTCAGTGGAGCTGGTCGATTCAAGCGTTGTTTGAAGTGTTCTACCCACCTGTTTTGTTGCTCTTCAATGTTGGTGATTGCCTCGCCTTCCTTGCTTTTCACTGGTCGATCTGGTTTGCGGCGATTTCCAGAGAGTTTCTTTGTCGTGTCATACAGCTATCTCATGTTTCCCTCACTTGCATCCTTTTCCATCGTCATTGCTAGATCCTCCACATATTTACGTTTGTGCGTTCTGATGCTCCTCTTCACTTGTTTGTTTACTTCTGTGTATTCAGCTTGCGCCTTGGCTTTTTCTGCTCTTGTTCGGCTGGTATTGATTGCTGCCTTCTTGTTTCTTCTTTCTTGAATCTTATCCAGTGTATCAACAGTGATCCATTCCTTGTGATGGTGCTTCTTGTGACCCAGGACCTCATGACATGTTGAAGTGATTGCTTCTTTGATCCCCTTCCAGTTGCTCTCCATAGTAGTTCCTTCTCCATTGAGTAGATCATGAAAGGCCTGGAACTTGTTGTTGAGGACTATCTTGAATTCGTTGAGTTTGTTAGTATCCTGAAGAAAGGCCGCATTGAACTTTTGTGATATTGTCCGCCCCGTTGTCCAGTGCTTCTTGAGTTTCAGTTTCATCTTGGCGACCAGCAAGTTTTTAAATCATGTAAAAGAAGCATATCCACTGTAATTAATTACTTTCTTGTAATATATTTTCACTTTATACTGTCTTCTGATAGGCTAACAATTGAAATTGCTCAAACGATTCTCACTGGCTCGTCTCTTAATTAGAGTCTCGCCGTCCCACATGTTGTAACCTCTCATTATTCACCTCCTCTCTAAAATCCGCTGTGAACCAATCGTATGTTGGCATCGCGTGTTGACCTTGGCTCCGTGACCTTGAAATTGCTCAAACGCTTCTGATTGGCTCGTCCCTAAATTAGTCTCGCTGAATCGACATATGATTAATGTTCAATCTCTTTAACGCATATTGCTAACCAGCACGATGTCTTTTGGAGAACTTCTTTGTAACTTGTGGAGCGAAAGCATGTAGGCTTTTCATAAAAGTGCCTGTAAAGGTTATGCGAATAATGAACATAATGATAAGTTAAAACAAAAGAAAAAGACAGAAAACTTGTTGAAATAACTAGATGGGAGAAAAAGGTAGCCCAGATATTCAAGCAGGCCGCAAAGTGTAATTAAACTCAATATTGTGAAAGTCCGTTAGATAAATTCACATACAATGTGATTAGTGCACTGTTCACGATGACAAATATCAATGATCGGTTGTATGTGACGGACACAATGGATCACTATAGACAGACATTAGATCTAATGTGTTTATTTTTCAATAGGTTCACACAACTCATTCAATGTCTATGTTTAGAGAATTTCAATCGGAACACAGGATAATATGCGGTAAGTGGCTGGCGTTCGGTTTGAGTGATTGACTGACATAGAAGAGAGCAATTCTTGTGAATATTCTAAATATCTTGATAGCTATTGTACACAAATGATCACACATATTGACTATTTGTCTTTTATTCGCTTTACTTAACAGAAATCTATGTATATATATGCAAAATATTTCATAATGCGCACTCGAGAAACGAGTTCAGTAAAAATGCGATCACATTTTCTCTGTCCTTCATCTATATTATCACTAATATTATTCTTTTCTAAAAGTGCATCTTGCAACCAACATTTGGATACGAATAGTCGAGAAATACTCGAACTGCACAGAAAATACAGACAGGATTTGGTTGATTGTAAAGTTGATGGACAACCTCCAGCTAAATATATGTCACCATTGGTAAATCACTCACTATTCAATAATTTCTTCAAATAATATACGTAACGCTTATTTGTAGAAATGGAATTACGATCTGGCTGCACAAGCGCAAACATTGGCGAACAAATGCACCTTACAACACGACACACCTCATTCGGATGAATTCTTATGGGTTGGACAAAATAATGCTCTTCTTCCAACTATTAAGTCGTAAGCTCATTTCTATTCAATTCACTGTTTTCTGATTCAGAGGAGTAGATGCTTGGTTCAATGAGCGCAAATTATATAAATACGATAAAAACAACTATAAGCGATGTTTGCATTACACACAAGTAAGTCCATTCTCATCCACTTCAAATTATTTCAACATACCCACAGTCATTTGCCACTCACCATTCACACCTATTATAATGCACAACGAATGTGTGATAACAATCAAGTAGTTTCACTTTTCTACAGGAGTGACTGAAAAACACATGTGAATACACATAATCCGATCATTGAAGTTGTGCACACAGGTATCCACAACACTTGATCATATTTGAGTATGTGTGTTTTGTTGAGAGTTGAGGTGATTCGGTGGAAAACAACAGATAGGAAATTTGTCTCTGACCAGCATGTACTCAGACTGACGAGTGCATTCAAATCCTAATCAATGTGTCAACACTAGTGTCAACACTAGTGTGAACACACAAACACAATATTGCAATCTACTCAACAGAAATTCATTGTGTATAGATGGTAGATGACGATGTTGTGATGGATGAAATGATTTCGACTGTTGGTTGACATGAGACAGAATGAGTGGGAGAGTGAGAGAGAGAGAGTGACTGATTGATTGATTCATTAATTGATATTTTCAGTGAGTGAGTGATCGACAGAATTCAACTAGTTATCATAACTGCACCAAATGTGAACATACTCATACAACACATACTGGAATTTCCACGTGTATCTCCTTCAGTTGAAAACATTATCTCTATCGTCTACATGTAATGTATTTACTCACATCAGGTTGAAGCATAGTGGAAATGCCTTGCAATTGGCCTAACGAACGATCACATTATTTCCTTGTTCACATTCCGTTTCAGATGGCTTGGGCCAAGACCACAGACATTGGATGTGGAGTTGCGAGTTGTCCAAGATACGGTCTATCAATCGTGTGTAATTATGGTCCAGGGTAAGTGATTGCTCTTGATCATGTGTGAAGAGGTGGTATTGTTTGCAATCACCTTGTTGTTGTTCTCATAGTGAATGTAACTGATATTTTATATTGTGTTGACTGTTTTAGTGGCAATCGGAATAATGAGAAACCATATGAAGTGAAATCACGTGAATTCTGCCCGAAAATGCAGAATATTCGCAAAGACAGGTTTCAAATGATGCGTGATGATACACTGCGTGCACCATTATCAATAGTGAATAGCAACCACAAGTTGTCAAGGACCGGTTCAAGTAGAAGTAGAGTTCACGACCAACGCAAACACGATCAACCGATTTCTATTAATGCTTTTCAATATAGTCGTCGTAATACACAGCGTAATGGGATATCCGAAAAGAAATCTTTAGAAAAGTTTTCAAAGAGCGTTCATGATGGACATGGCAATGAACAACGACAGCAAAATGGTAGAAAAGTACGACACAGAAATTGATTAAAATTATTCGGCAAATATAATTGGTGCCTCCATATCTATTTCACGTATCTGTTTTCAACTGTGTTTTCACTTCTGTAACACAAAACCTTCTCTCAATATATACTCATTACTTACTTCCATTGATATGCAGGACTATTTTGTGTTGATATTACTCAATTATCTGTATGTGTGTAGCAATTAGTCATAACTTATAACTTATAACTGAATATATTTCATTCAAATCATATTGCTTTGTGTTCTGTAATTCATGTGGTGAGTGAGAAACGATGTTGGCAAGTGCCATTGGAATGATACATTTAATGAATACGTTCATTATGTGTTGAATATTTCATCTTTGTATGTGTATTGTGTATTGTGTGTTGACTGGCATTCACGTTTATTCAGCTCATTAATGTAATTAGTAACAATAATCACTTCATTCAACATTAAACATGTAATTCAACAGTAAATCCTTAGCTTACAATAAATTTCAACTCAGTTCTCCTATTCCCTGTACACAACATCATTATGTCTAGTTTAATGATATTTTCGTTTGAGAAACTATGAATCTTTACAAGGATTAACTTCCTGATCATGCATAAGTATAGCGTTTCGGTTAAGTCAGTTTTGATAAACTGTTCGTCACATAGACAACATTCCCCATAGAGTGGGAAATGTGTATGTTCAGTGAATGATTTGTATCTGATAATATACAACTTACCATTATTTGTTTACAAGATAATGAAATATTCATGCACAAGCATGATTATTACAACGTCTGACAAGTATCTGGATTACTCATCTCAGTACAGTGAAATCGCTTCTTCAAAGTTAAGCAGCACAATAGGATACTAGATAACGTACAACGAAAATTTTAGTTTGTAAAATTAGGTGTGTAGTAGTATTATCAACAGCACGTGACTTCTTCACATAAACATTCGGTTAAAAGATTTGATATGAACAAATGTTGAGGGGCGTGAAACAGACCAAATGCAGGCTACACCATGATAGATGTTATTTGATGTGGTTTTCAATAGAGAATATCGGAAATTACGAAGACGTGTCATTGCAGTACTGTGTTAATGTGATTTTCATAGAATCAGTTAGATTGAACAGCTTCACATCTAGAATGATGTATTGTAACACTAATGAAAATGGACAATTTTTATGTGTGTAGTAAGAATTGAATGAGGAGAGGAAGAATCAGGTTCCAATATAGTTATTTACTTCATTTACTTAACTAAACTGTATTTGTTGATGGAAGATCGAGCAAGAAATCAGGAAATACAAAAGTAAAAGAAATCCTTATTCAAATCATTCACCTTGAACTACTTTTCATTTCCATCCTTCAACCATCCTAGTTCTATTTAAGAATGTCAATCGAATTTTACAATGATTGTTCGATTATTACAGCAAACGTGACATCACACTACTTTTCATTAATAAGTACGATGATTTAAAATAGCAAGTTTCACAACTTGCACATGATAAACGTTAATTCTCGATTACTCCATTGATTCACTGATCATGTTTGTTTTGTTATTCTATCACTATTTGTTACATTAGTATTTCAATCTTCATTGTTCTACAACAGTTTTTGAGTTATTTTTAAATACACTATACTTCAAAGAAGCTTTGATAATCTTTATGAATGAGATGCCTAGTTTGTTCTTCACAATGAAACTACTTCCATTGCGTTTTATACATTCAAATATGTTCTTTCTTGATCATTTCATCGTTAAATAACAGTGTTCATTTATTAGCTTAGTTGATTAACTCCTCAGTATCATTCAGCTATAGTATTCGGGATTTCTGGATTGCGTGATGGCTTAATTCACTTGGTATTGTTTGCTCAATCATCCCATTGATGTTTGGGACTGTAACTGATCAGTCTCTTATTAGTATATGTGCATATTTTGCGTATTACCTTGATATTGCCTTAATTCACAAGCATTATATGCAAAGATTGATGGTGGCTAGAAGTGGAATCGACGACAGGCGCTTCATCCTATTTGGAACTTACCAGCTGCATGTATTTGCACCTCAGAGTTGATGTTCACTCTGGGACTCGAAGTGGATAACACGATATTATTTGAAGCGAACGGTGTTGAGTTCCAGCGACACAGACAACACCAATTCTGAGGTGCATGTTCGTCCAGCTGACGAGTCGCAAATAGTAGGAAACGCTAGTCCTGGATTTCATTGCTAGCCAATATCCATCTTTGCATATACTGATAGCTGATTGCTATTTTATCAATTATTAAATTTGTAAAAATTGAAGAAATGTAAAGATTTTCATCCTGCACATGTGATTGCACTACACTGATATTGTTTATAATGAACTTAATGAATGAAGATACGTTTGAACGAGTTGAATACGAAATATATTTATTTTAACATATTAAGAAAGGTCTTCATGAACTAGAAGATTGTTAACAGACATTTTGAATAACTAGCGCTCTTTATCAAGTTCCATGGACACCGTAGAAACAAGGAGGTATTATTTGTTACATTATATTTACTGCATATATTCACCATCTTGTAGTAATCTTAAATATACTTTTTGAGACTATGAATCCCCGGACTAACATATAACTTTGTAGATACCGCTGTTTTCTGTTTATAAACTAAACTTCAAAGTACAGTTTGTTATAAACTGTTCTGCTGATGTTTCCTCTTCAGAGCTCAAATGTGGGTGACTTTTAGGGATTATCAAATAGTTGACCAATTAATGTTTACATGTTCAAGTACAAGATGTATCAGTGATTGCTTGATTGATGTTATTGGTTTGTGATGGTTCAAATTATGTTATGTTAAATGCAGTAAATGGTCAATCTGATTTGATATATATACTTTCTGAGAGGATTACTCTGACATTTTCATTAAGTCACAGGGTCTGGATAAATTTGTATAGTGGTTACCCATGGTTACCCATGGAACATTTACAGTTGAATAATCAAATTCTAACCTGACGTACAATTTAGCAAACATCGTGTTGACGTTGTAAACTGAAAGCATTGGGTTCGATTCATAATATGTACAAAAACAGTTACTTGTAATAGATACATATCATTGATCATTGAAACCCGAATAAATCGACACATGGATTCTAAATTTGACTATTACCATGGTCTTTTCCTAATTTGCATGCCTTGTGATGCAGTTTGATGATTTCCGTAATGTATGTCCTATCTACTTCCACTGTCTTTTCCTAATTTCCTCTTCAGTTGGAAGCTGGTTTGTTCTCTCCCACAGTAGGCTTTTGCTGATGGTATCCGAGCCAATGGATTTTGAGTGTTTTGGGTAAAGATCTGTTTCAAGCTCCTTACAGTAGAACTGACTGTCTTGACGTTCGTGTTGAAGATTTTGACTTTGTTTGTGGTTGACTCGGCCTGTAGCTCTTGTAGAGTTACTGCTGGTTCAAAGCCCAGATAAAGTAGGAGTGTTGGTCATGGAGTCGGAAACCACATTATCAATACTAGAATGCTCTAATTTGAATTGTAAAAGGTTATTGTCTGAAATTACAATCACTACAATCTTCACAAAACCCTTTGTGATACAATTCAACTGATGTCAAAGATTAGTTAAAATGATAAAATAAACTGCTTTATGTTGATTGATGACGTGGTAGATTATTTGACTTTTGACCAATCAATTACTAGTGCAGAATGTTTCATCAGTTAGCTCAATTCAGGTAGTCAGCTAGTACTAGCAGTCTATATACCTAAAATTTGGCTTAAATTTAAGTATTCTACTCTGTACTTGGTAAATGATTTGTATTCTGTTATAAATTTGTGGATGAAATTTAACATTCAATCTGTATTCACTAGACTCGAGGATTTACAATATTTTCTAAGTGTTTATGTCAGTTATGCTTCAGTGCTCTACCATATCTACTGATTAGACTGAAGTCATAAATATCAACAACTGAATGGTTAAAGCATTTACCAATGATGATTTAAATATCATACCAATTAAACAAGTTAATGACTTCCTCTACTCAGAAGTTTTAGTGAATAACGCGTTGATGTTTGGTGGGGTGATGTACTGAATTCACGCTTTCAATTAGATATTACCACTAGGATCTAGGTATGTACAAACAATGAGTCCGATTCAGGATGAAAGATATCCATTCCTTCTATATGTGAAAATGGTTTCTAGAGACTTGATTAATTTTCATAGCATTTGTTTTCTTTAAAATCATAAGCTGTTGTAATGAACAAGTGTCATATTAGTTGTCAAAACTTAGTACCAATCTTATTTGATACAAATACAATTTCGAGTTGATGATGGAGATTGTAGTTCTAAAGGTTGATTTCTTTTCTAAATTACATTGTAATTAACGTTAGTATAAATGGAAACAATCGAATGTATTTGAATAGAAAATTACAGAATCATCTCACACTTCATTGTTCCTTCATTTTCACACCAAATATTCACTATTCTCATTCTCTTTTCGTCAATCTTCTTTGCCTTCTATCACCAGCTATTTCACTATCGATTGATGCTACATACTACTTATATCTATCGATATTAATAGCACACATCACAACATCGTTTAAGCTGGAAATTCACAAAGTAACAGTATAGAAAACCACATATATATAGATCATGAATCAGTGGAAACTAGAACACCATAGAAAACCTGAATGCAGTGGACGGCCATTTCATCCGATTGTGAGACTGCTCAGTAATGAACATCCACGATCGCACCTCAAAAGTTTCGAACTCATGGTTTATCGATCTCGTGCGTGATCGCTTAACCACTACATCATATGTATAAACCATATGTATATATGTACATCTAGTATTTCATCATTTTCAATAGTTCATTAACTTATATTGATTCAGAGAATGAAAAGTTTTAATTAAGAAAGTAATTAGGACTTATTATATCAACAACAAGATACACAACGTGTTATACATTCAGTTTAGTAGAATGACAAGAGACAAATTAATCCATATAAAAGTTCTTAGCATAATAATAAATGAGTCTCCATTTTTAAAACAAAAACAAACAAGAAAGACAATTTTTGGTTTACCTTTTCCATCATCAGATTAATTAAACTCTCGAAATGAATTTTGAAAAAAGAAAAAGAAAGAAACTAAAATTTTATTCATTATGTGGTTATCTACTAATAAGAAGTATCGATTCTATTCATTGACATATACCATTGTATCTATGTGGGCGTGTGTGTGTAGTGTTAGTGGTGGTGGTGGTGGTGTTTATGTGTGTAGGATAATG